GTCATAACCTTAACTCAAACCTTAACCCTAACCTCAATCACCCTGGGGTTTAAGGCAAGGCCACTCGTATTAGGAGGCGGGCTCATTCTCCCGTGTCCTATCCAAATGCGGAATAGGTGTATCATCATTCCGAGACACGGGCGTAGGAGCTCCCCCCCCCCCTCTCCCTACCCGCAGGTCTTGCGCTAAGTTCCAGGACGATTAGTGCTAGGGTCAACAGTAGGGTTATGGTAAAGCCTATGATTAGGGTTCAGACTAGGGCCTGTTCACGGGAATGGCTTACCTTCCTGTAATTCAGCGGAGAACAATCTCTGCCATGGGGAGAAGTCCCTATTCCTGTGTCTGGTCATAGTGCCTAGCGAAAATGGACGTGAATGATGACTATTGATTCGGAATTGGTGAAGAAGTGAGTGTTTCATTGTCCATATAGACATAATCTTTCACTCGCCGTACAACAGAAGGTGTGCCTACACATACATTAGGTGTGCTAACTCATGAAATGTTAGCCGAAATCCCGAAATGCGTTTTCGTATAAAAAAGATTGCTTAAGAAAGGTCGTAAAGTTAATCATCATGTAGCATAATCCCATAATAATTAAGTCACCTCGGGATGCAGGCTTTTGAATGAACTTCTTTTCGACCGCATGCAATAACCACACTCTATAAAAAATGACTACATAAGTAGAACGAATTTTTCGCATTGATTTTCGCTGGTTTTAAAAAAGTCTATTATATTTCGTGGAAAACATGTATAAAAATATCCATCTTTTTGCACATTCGATAGAAAATTAGGCAAGGTCGCAGTTGGTAGCCAGGAATGGGGAAGCGGACGGCGACCCTAACATTAACCCTAACATTAACCCATACATTAACCCTAACCCAAGTCTTAAACTTAAACGTTAATCATTAACGCTAACGGCAACCCTAACCCTAACCGAAATCGCAAAAGTAACCGTAGCCCTTAGACATAGCCCTAACTATAAAACCTCACCGTAATACTGAAACCTAATCGTAAACTCAAACCCTAACCGTAACCAGAAAACCTAAGCCTAAAGGCATAACCCTAACCCGAAAATTGGAAATCATCAACCGGTACCAATCCTACCTCAAACATAAAACGAAAGCCAAATGGGTCAGAGGTGATTATGTAGTCCTACAAAAAAGCCCCAGTAAACAAACCCCAGCCTCCTCTAATACGGGGCCTGGCTACCAACTGCGATCTAGCCGAACATTACATCTACTTCGAATTTTATACTCAATGGAACGGTTTAATTTGGTTTAAAATACCTTTTCTAATTTTCGAATAATTTTGAACCCGAACTGCCGTTACACTTGCATGCGGGTTTCTAAACTACAAGCCGCATATTTTCCGCGTACGGAAAGCCATACATTTCTCTGTGGTATCAAGAGGAGAACATATGGGATTCATAAAATAAAACAGCGTACATATTTGCGCCATACAGAAGACTCTACAAACCACATTATTAAATAAAGAGACAAGAGGTTTTATGAACGGGCATTCCATGGTATTAAAAAATCTCACAATTAGAAGATTTTTGAGACCGAATTATAACCTTCCTTCGAGTTTACAGTTGGGAGATGTGATTTCCTACCGAATGAGCAAATGAATGAATATTTTTATGCATGCTTTCCTCAAAATATAATGGAATTTTCAAGGGCATCGAAAATCAATGAGAAAAAGTCGTACCAAATAAGTAGTCATTTTTTACAGAATGCGGTTTTTGTATGCTGTCGAAAAGAAGTTTGTTCGAAAGCCGACATCCCGAGGTATCTGAATTATTATAGAATTGTGCTGCATGATAATTAACTTCACCAGCCCCCTTAAGTAATCTTTTCGAAACGAAAAACGTATTTAAGGATTTCGACAACCATTATATGAGTTAACACGCCTACTGTAGTATCGGAAAAGGAGTGGGAGGCGATTGGGGAGGTCGAAGTGCGATGGATAGAAGGGTAGAAAGTGAGAGCAGAGACCGAGTTAAACGCGAACGTTTTGGGACCCAAGTGTGTACGCAACGGTAGGCATATCTCTTATGTTCTCGGTAAGCTGCTGCACCCGGTCTGAACGTTGTGCAGGTATGGACGTGACTTCTTTGAACTTCTCGTCATACAGGTCTGTGGTGATTGCTGGTAGATGGTCGACTGACAGATTAGTTGTAGGTGACAGCAGTTGGGAAACCGCCGCAGTAAAGTCATGATCCGGCAGTAGAATTGGAAGGTCATCGCGATCGTAAGAAAGGTCAGTGTGTAAGTGGGAGGATTGTGAAAGGGGAACTTAGAGAGAGGGTGGTTATTAGTAATTACCAGGACAGTTTACGACAAATGTCGATCCATGCTACTATGCGAGAAGAGTCAAGACTATCAACTGAAGTTTTTGCTACTCACCGTTTGCGGTAACCACTACAGGTCTCGACCACTTCGATGAAAACACGATTTTTCCGGGTCTGCGTCCAGCGCTTAGACAAGACGCCCTACCTGCCGACAGCCTTTTCAATATAGTCCCAGCGTGACCAACACAGTTATATGTGCGTAAACATCGCTACCGTGCATGCAGTATTTTCTTGCCTTCCCGAGCACCTAAAAACATTTGGTGGTACCTTTGCATAGTACGTCTACAGATCGCAAAGATCGTAGCCTAGCTGATGCGACGTCGAAGTATTTTATCGAAACATTAAATTCCGAGTCTTTGACAAGCTGGCTTTAAGTCAAGCCTTTTTCCGCTTAATGACAAAACCCACCCTAAGCATCTGTTTACTTGCCAAAGACGCTGTGGACGAGACCCTTGATGTCTGCATTTGTTTTTGAAAACGACAGTAAATGACGTTACGGAAAGCTGACTGAGTTTTACGGTCCACGGAGCCTGATAGTACGCAGTCATAAGTGCTTGCCAGACGGTATCTACGAAACAGTTTTGCGCAGTAGACGATAAGGTTTTGAGAGGCATAGTTCAGACAAAAGACGATTTAGTCAACAGTTTAGGGAAGATATCGGTGGCGCGACAAACAGCGGAGCACCGACGGGACACAAAGCAGTTAAAACAGTAAAATAACGAGTTTATCAAGTTGTTGTGGTCGGAATCTTGTTCAACCCCGCCCGACCGCCAGATGGGCTTCTGGTCATGAGGCATGTTGTGCCAGAGAACACATAGAATACATAGAAAGGTCAGTAAGCTTTTTACCAGCCAGACGCTGATATCTGGTTCATGATCAATACCGATCGCCAGTCATGTGCATTGCAAAATGAGCCATATAAAGTTGCCAATGTAATAGTCACGCGATCACTATGTAGGAAAGCGGTCAAACACGGAATTTTGTCATTAAGACAGCAGAGTAGGGCATTTGGTCAGATGCGGTTATGCAGCCTCACCTGAAGTAAACGAATCCCAGTCACCTGTAATGCGGGATCGAAGGTAAATGGGGTTTTTACAGGTGGGGCCGGGAAACACACGCGACGAGGTCAAGGTGTTGTATGCAAATGAAAGGCTATTGGGATTGTGCGGTTGTACTTTGAGTGGTTGACAAATAGTTTCCCTAACCCCAACTCTTAACCATAACCCCTAACCCTAACACGAACAATATTGTATCCATCAGATGGGGCTACATAACCACATCTTACTGGCCAGTAGGTCGCACACACAAGAATGTGTTTTCATAGGAAAAGCAGGATTTTGTCCTTTTGTTCCTCTCCGATTCCCCCCTCCTCACCCCACCCCTAAGGAAATTTGGCATTCCTCGAAGCTTCTGTTAACTGCCACTTTGTAAACATTCCATGCCGCCCAATCTGCGCATTCGTGAATGTTTTGGGGGATAGAGGCCATCAGAAGTCCTGTCTGAAGCTTACAGTGTCTCCTGTGTTCTCTTTAGACAATGCATTGAGCCCGACTCACCAACGGTTCTTAGCGGAGTCTACCCGCCCATGAAATACACCCAAATGACTAAGAGGTCCTCCATTCATAGCTTATGATGACACGCTTTCGACAAAACTCTCCCCATCTCTTATGACAGTCAGCTCAGAGACATCTGCAGATATCAAAGCAAGTCTGTCGTTGACCTTATTCATAGTCTGGCTGAGACCTTGTGGTTCGTTTGCACTTTTTCGAAGACGCTCTTTCCAGACTAACTTCGGCTGACGCAAGTCTCCCACACTAGCTGATCTCGAGACCGTGTGAGGGCGAAGAACCCGATCACGTGGGAGCCTGATAGGTATGCGTGGGCCTGGGACTGAGAAATGCTAAGCTCAGTATTCACACACCTTCCGATACAGCGCACTGCATACCGTTGCTATCATATTTTGGGCTTTATGAATCGTAGACGCTGCATCCTACGTCAGCGTTGGTCGCTAACTAAAATTCCGCCTGACTGCAAGCATCACTCCGTAAACGTAAGAGCATGCCTTTTTTTATACATTGAGGCGTCCAGAAATTCTCTCATCAGTTTCCGTTATCTGATTTCATGAGATAGGTCACGTACTGTATGTGGCGGCGCAAAAGCCCGTAAATCAGTATGCTGCACTGTAAATTCCGACTGCTAGAGG